AATAATGATGGAGTAATAATTACTCGGTATATTAATTAACAATAAGAATAATAGGGAGTAATATAATTAAGAAAAAAGAAGGAACCAGAAGACATGGAATTCCACATATATAGGGAAATGATTACAACAATCAATTAAGTTCATCATATCACTGCAACAATATAGTTCAAGCAGCAGAAAATTAGTGCTTTATTTTCAAGTCTTGTAGGGTGGACAATGGGGCATGCTCAAACACATAGTAAATCTTTATTCCAAGGAGAAAAAAAATACTCACACAGGGGGGGAAACAACCAGTAATAAAATTAAAGATGTTGCTTTCATGAAATTCTTGGGGGGCAAAATACAAATCTGTCTTATTCTATATATATATATACGGAGTTTTATTTATTTATTTATTTTTAATTCAACTTTGAATTCCCGGGCCCGAAAAGGTAAATAATTGGGAGTATGTTGAAGAAGGGAGGGGCAGGGCGGAGTGGGCCCAATAGTTGGCACCGTCTTAACTTGACACATGCAAATCCCAATTCCTCTAATTGCTTCTACTCTTTTGACTTTTTCACCCCGGCCCTTAATTCATGCCTCCATTCAATAATTTATTTGTCTCATTCATTCAAAAATTATGTACTCCCATCCTCCTCCCATCAATCTTTAATTAATCGTTTTATATTTTAATTAGAGTAAAAATTATATAATTGACTCCCTATAATAAGATATTTTTAATATTTAGTTCTTCTATTATAAAATTCTATCTCTGCAGTCTTTTTTATGAGTACACTTGTAATAATAGTGGGGTAATTTACTTAAATAGGACTAAAACATAATGACTTTCTCAATATAGGACCATATGTTTTTATTTTCCAATGTAGGACCATTGGTCATTATCTATTAGTCATTATTTAACTAAATGTTCAGCATCACTTGGACATTATTCTCCTCACTAATCATTATTAAGTCTTATTTAGGGAATAAAAAAGTTTAAGTTCTACATTAAGAAATGACTTATGTTTTAGTCCTATTCAGTGCAAATTTCACATAATAGTGTACTCCCATCCTTCTCCCAACAAAACATTCATCAAAATTTGATTCCAAAGTCAAAATTAACTTGTGGGTGCAATTGAAGGAAATTGGGGTATGATTGGATCGAGACGGGATTGGAGGGTTTACCAGAAGACGTAGGGTAAATAAGAACTATCAATTTTACAAGCATCTCTGAGTCATCCCATGATATTGCTGGGCAATGTCGGCAATGTCATGGGAACTGTCCCGGGTAGAATATTGCTCAAAGGATAAACTGTATTGTTGCCGTACGTAAAGTTACGCTTAATTTCCATTCAATTGGTAAAATTATATGGTTTTGACTAAATTTTGTGAACCTAGCTAGGGATTAGAAATTGGAAGGATTTCCACGTGCAATGAGGGGATTGAAGAACAATATCGAAACATATTAGATTCTTCTTCTTTCTTCTTTACTATATATGCTTCTGATTTCTACTGTTACGTTATTCAAAATTAACCTATGGAGTATATTATTAAATAGTTATATATCTAGCTAAACCGTTAACACAAACAATATTATTTTAGTCTAAGTTTTGTCCCATTATACTTTGCGCTCATCCATATATATGAAATTAAAATATAAAATGTGTGTGTAAAATCATGTGTGTGTGTGTGTGTATATATATGAATAAAATGAGAAGAAAAACAACTTTGAACAAAAAATAAAATAATACTTCCTCCGTCCCAAAAAGCTAAGTTTGTTACGTTTAGAAAAAACTGCGCCCCGTAAAGTCCGTTACATTTCTATTAAAAAACTACTTTTACCCCTTACTTTTTCATACCCTACATATCACATCATACCTTTTTCCTAATAATCTACCCATCACATCCTACTTTTACCCATCACATCAAGGGTATTTTTGGAAAGTCAATACCAAAATATCTCTCCCTTAATTTCCCAAAAAATCAAACCGTCTCATTCTTTTTGGGACGGAGGGAGTATTAGATGAGCCAATGCCCAATGGGGCACCTTATTAAACTTTGATCTTTAATACTTCTGTCTCAAAAACTTATTCACTTTTTTTTCTTGTGTCTCACAAAATTCTTCATTTTTTCAACAAGACCCGAAAGTTTACCTGATTTGATCATTTTTTATTTGATTGAAATAAATTTTGACGTAATCAGATCAGATCATATTTACAATCAAAGTTTTTTGATCTAGCTATTCAATAAGAACAAATAACAAGGATAAAATGAATAAAACAAGCTCTAAGTTTAAAAGTGTCTATAATCCAAAAGTACACGGGGCATGCGAGCCCAAGAAGGACTTAAGTTGTTAGAGCAACTCCAAAAGTGAAAAAGATACTCCGTAACTTTTACCCTTAACTTTTTTATACTCATTCCAACCATATCTTTTAAATAATACTCGATCTCTCCGTCCCTTTAAAATAGGGGTGTTCAAAAATATCTGATCCGAAATATCCGTCCACGATCCGGGCCGATCTGATCCGAAAAATGGATATACGATCTGATATTTTAGCTTTCGGATCAGATACCCGAGAAAAATCGGATCGAATATGGATTCAATTTCTGGAATTTTTCAGATAGTTGGATATCCGATTTTTTTCTCTATATGTTTAATGGAATTTTATGGATAAATATTATGGCTACATGTTTAATGCAATTTTATGTTGATTTTGGAACTCAAACATTTTGGCATTTTCACATTAGCATTTTGGAACTTTTTATTTTAGCAGTACTTTTTTTTTGGTTTATTTAGGCAAACTTACCAAAGTTACTCCCAAATTGAATTTGGTATCATTTTTTTAGGCCATTACCTAGTGGTGGAATTTTGCTTTTAGTAAATCCATATTAAATTTTGTGGGTTGATTTTTCTATTTTACTTTTTTTGTAAAATTTAGCTAAAAAGTCAACTTCTCGGATAATCCAGTGATCCGATCCGAAAATTCGGATATCCAAATTTCGGTTATCCAAATATTTTCGGATCGGATATGGAATGAGTTTTACATGATCCGAAATTTTCGGATTCGGATTGGATCGGATCGATCCGATTGAACACCCCTACTTTAAACCCTTCCCATTTTGACTTTGGGCCAAAATAAGGAAGGTGTAATTTTGGTCGACTTTCCAATTTTGCCTCTAATGTGATAAGTAAAAGTAAGATGTGATAGTTTGTTTATTAGTGAAAAAGTATGATATGATATGCAGGGTATAAAAGAATAAGGGTAAAACTGATTTTTTAATAGAAAGTGAAAGTGTTGTAGGGAATTCAAAAAACGAAAGGGAAAGAATTTTATGGAACGAATGAAATAAATTTTTATAATATTTTAGTCTTTATTTTATAGTTAAATTTTTAATCTTTACAATCAAATTAACAAATCTACAAAACAAAATCCATAATACGTTGTATACGGAATATATTCTTTTAAAAAAATTAAAATTTAAAAACATACTCGTAGTTAATACTATTCCGCGTAATTTTGTCATGTGTATTACGGAGTACTATAATATTGATTAATTATTATTTTAAAGAAATAAGTGAAAGAACTACTTGGTAGAAATTATTTAATTTTTTTTGAAAACAGAAATTATTTAATTTGTTAGGACGAGTAAATTTAGATGTGTAAAAAACCTAATTGAAAAAAATGAAAGTAAAAGGGAAGAACGGAGTAATATAATTGAATGTGAATGTGAAATTTGTTTTGTAAAAAAATTACCAAGTCGCGCGTTTTTTCAAAAGAAGAAGAAGAATAGTAAAAGTCTACTAATTCATGCGTCAATGTAATTAAATGGAAGGGAATAGCTTTGTCGTCGTTGTTTCTTCTAAGCTTCTAAATTCCCATTTCGTTATAAAATAAATTTTATCACTAAGGTTCCCATGACATTGGGTTCCAATGTCATGGGATGACCCGGGGGTGCTCCGGTGTCTCGTTCGTAAAATTGAGGGTTCCTATCCCCCCTAACCCCCCCGGTAAACCCCCCACCCCGGCCCCGACCCAAACACGCCCCCTACCCCCGTCAATTGCACCCCACAAGTTGATTTTGACTTTGGAACCCAATGTCATGGGAACCCCACCCAAATTTTATTTGTATTTACTTTATTTTATGTCTCATTGTCATTTACCAGACATAGCATCCTCTCTACAAATATACTATACATATATACTTTCTCCGTCCCATAATCTTTTTATTTTATTTTTTTATCTGTTCTAAAAAAACTTTCTCATTTCTACTAAAAAGTCTATTTTACTCCTACTAATTTTTATTTTACCTATCACATCACACTTTTTACTACGAAGTATTAATATACTCATCACATCAATGGCATTTTTGGTGTGTGTGTGTGTCTATATATATATATATATATATATATATATATATATATATATATATATATATATATATATATATATATATATTCCATCATCAAATCCTCTTCTATATATATAAATAATACTCCCTCCGTCCCTTAAAAAGGTTTCCGTTTTGACTTTTTGAGGATTTAAGGAAGGAATATTTTTGTGTTGACTTTCCAAAAATACCCTTGATGTGATGTGTTAAAGTAAGATGTGATAGGTAGATTATTAGTAAAAAGGTATGATGTGATAGGTAGGGTATGAAAAAGTAAGGGGTAAAAGGGGGTTTTTAAGGGAAAAGAGAACTTTATTTAGGGACAAAGAAAAAACGAAAGAGGAACTTTATTTAGGGACGGAGGGAGTATTTTGGTGTTGACTTTCCAAAAATACTCTTTGATGTGATGGATAAAGTAAGATGAGATGGATAGATTAATAGAGAAAAAGTGTGATGTGATAGATAAGTTAAGAACTAACAGGAGTAAAAGTGACTTTTTAAAAGAAAATGAAAAATATTTTTTGGGTCAGATGAAAAAGAAAGAGGAATTTTTTTGTGGGAATATTAATCTATGAGTTGGGAAAGTCTTAGCTTGTACCCAACAATCGAATAAAGGGAAACTTATAAAGTCCATCTCTCTCTCTCTCTATATATATAATCTCGCACTCCCCGCCCGCCTCAGCTTCAATTCAATTCAACAGAAAACACACCATATATAGAATTATTATTATTATTATTAGGTCAATATATATAAAAATAATGATGATGAAGAAGAGTATGAGCAATAATAACAACAACAACGAGAGGAGTGGGGTTAGGCCGTACAAGAAATCTGCAGTCCCGCGGTTGCAGTGGACGCCGGAGCTCCACGACCACTTCGTCGACGCCGTCGAACATCTCGGCGGCCGCTACAGTAAGTTCCTGTACAGCTTGACCTCGCTTTGCATGCGTTTTAGTTTTCCCTTTGAGAAATAATTAATTAGAAATGGAATTTTCTGGTTTGAATTTCTTTTTATTTTCCCTTCCAAATTAAAGGCTAAAATTATAAAATGGGTTCATCATGTTAACAGAAGCAACTCCGAAGAGAATAGTGCAGGTGATGGGAGTAAAAGGATTAAAGATTTCTCATGTCAAAAGCCATCTCCAGGTATATATTTCTATACCCACTCCTTTTTAAAATACTTTCCCTTTTAATTTTTTTCATTTTTTCCTAAAACACTTTACTAATATATCTAAATTAAGTAAGTCGTTGCAATACACTCCATTCAATTTGAATTCATATAAAAGTCATTTAGATGAATTATTTCTCTTTTTTAATTTTTTTCGATTATAAAAATATAATTAAAAGGTCAAACTACGAAAATAAATCTCTTTTTAGTCAAAACAGGAACGATTTTAAGAAACGGATGCAATATATAGTTTGTTTATTAACTCTATATATACTTTGATGATCCCTTCCTCCATTAATTAATTAAATTAACACTCTCTTTTTTCATTCATTCCAAATAAAATATACATATATAGTTTCATTCTTTATTTTTATTTTTAAAAAAATATTTCTCTAGCTTTTAAAATTTCTTTTATCTCCTACGGAATATTTTTTTTATTCTTAAACATTTTTCTAAACTACGCCAAATTAAATTATCAATTTATTTATGGAATTGAAGAAGGGAGTATATTTTTACCTACCTAGGTGTGTAGCAAGCTAGCTAGCTGCTGCCAAGGGTGGCTCCTCAATTATTATCATCATATATTCATATCATAGCTACGTTGAAATTAAAGCGTGGGCTATCATTTTTGTTTAATTTATTTACTTATGTCAATTTCTAATTAAATTCCACCACTCACATTGGATTGAACTAATTAATTGCGTTCATATCAATGTTGTATTTTTAAAAAGATGTGTTTAACTTTAGAGGAATGCTAGAGGTACACCAAAGGTGTACCCCAAATGCACACCACCTCTCTCTTCATCATCCATTTTTATTTTATTTTTATTTATTTATTTTTTTTGAATTTCTTACCTTTTTTGTGGACAAGGATGGGGTGGGAGACAAATGGGGTACACATTTGGTGTACGCCTAGCATTTTTCTTAACTTTAAACTTTTGAATGTGTTATAATATAGTCCACCATTCTTTTTAGTATTAATAACCTATTTATATTATTACTCTCTTTTAAAATTTTCCTATCTTGTTTCAATAAGCTAATGAAAAGTCCATTTTGCATTTAAAAATGGTGTTTAATTACGCATATTGTAAATTTTGTTTCTATCTTTTTTTTAAAAAAATCATACACTTCATTTGATTTTATAATTCCAGAAACTTTTGTAAATAATAACAATTGTAAAATTATGAGAAATTTACTTAAATATGACTAAAACATAATGACTTTCCTAATATATGACCACATGTTTTTATTTCCCAATGTAGGACCTTTGATCATTATCAAATAGTCATTATTCAAATAAATGTCTAGCATTACTGAACATTATTCCTCTTACTAGGTCATTATTATTAAGTCTTATTTAGGGAATAAAAAAGTTTAACTCTTACATTAGGAAAGTCATTATGTTTTAGTTCTATTTAGTGCAAATTAGGAATGCAACTAATAATAATTAGTGAATATTTTTTTGTAACCTAACAGATGTACAGAAACATGAAGGAGAGAAGCACTTTCGATGTTTTCATGGGCGCACCAAGCTGCAATAAGCTCCCAGAAGAGAGACCCCATTTCACAGCTTGGAATAATAATAATCCACATGGGTAATTAATTAATTTATTTATTAATTCAATTGAAAAATTAATTAATTAAAAAAATCCATATGATATGCTTCTTATATTGACTCTTTGGGCAATTCATCCATTCCTTGATTTTCAAAGTGGATGCCTAAAAATGACGACTTTTTGTGTTGCATGCATATTCTAATCTGACTTTTTAGTTTAATCATCAAGTCATTATGATTAAGTTTAATAATTAAAATGAGTGAGATTAATTATATTAATCAGTTTAATTAATCAGTAGTATAATGTGACCAAATACAATTATGAGGTCACTGATAGAAGCCTGACCATATAAGACTTCAGAAACCTCTTCACATGTTCCATCCCATCATCTAACGTAATGAGCAGTAGTAATTATAAGGAAAATTACTGTTTTGATTTTACCTTTGAATATTTTTTTATTTATCTGCCCACATGGCAGGTTTGACTTTGACCAGATCAAATAATGACTCCCTTTTTCCATCTTCCACTTGTAAATTGCAAATAATTTATTCCTCACCCCATGTTTCCACCTTCCAACACTATACAATTGTAACTTTGCCCATGTCCCACGTTGGATAATATGTAAAATTTCATTTGTAAATTTTAATATGGAGTAAAAATTAAAAATATAACTTACATATTTCAAAACTAAATCAATGAACACAAATTTTACTAAAATTTTACTAAACAACCAGCGAAAAATACATAAATGAACAAAAATTATCTTGACATCGGAATAGTAATAATTGAGACGATCATTTTGAGACGACATGAAAACATGAAGAATTAATCCAAATGGTACTAAAATATAACGAGTTTTCCAATTTAGCATAATCTGTTTTTATTTTCCAATGGAGTCTCATTATTCAATGTATACTGGTTATTGTTCAAGTAAATGTTCACCGCCACTGAAGATTGTCTAAATTAAATGTTTACGATCACTAGACATTATTATCGTCACTAGATATTATTTAAGCACTATTTACAAAATAAAAAAAACATTAAGTATTACATTAGGAAAATATATAGCCAAATTGACGTGCATGCAGCTACAAGATCGAATGAATATGATTGTTAATAAGTGTTAATGTTTAATTAAGTACTCTTATTAATTAATTTGCAGGCACACATCATTAGAAAGAATATTGAGACAAGTGTCTTCTTCTTTTGATGAGACTAATGAGACAACAAAAATCAGAAGCAGCGACACCAGTTGCTACTTTGGCCATCATCATCATCTTCATCTATTTCATCGTCAGGTACGTACCATCACATATAGTCTTTATTTCGATTGCTTTATACGGAGTATAAAAAATTCATGCTTGTTGTTAGAATGTATGTCACATCGGAAGTCTAAGAGTAAAATAATCGGTATATAAATTCTTGATGTGAACTAACTAATCGATACGATTCAATCTTTTAATGTGGTTCAGCTCAAGTGTCTTTTTGCTCAATCTAGTTGTCTCTATCTCATTCTAAATTTTAAATTTGTAATTCTAAATTTTGTACGCACAAGTATAATTTTTATAAATTACATAATCTAACACACTCTTACGAGATACGTAGTAATATTTTTTTATTTTGAAATATGTAAAAGAAATACTCCCTCCGTTCCAAAAAGATTTACACGTTTCATAAAAATTGCGTCTCAGAATCCCCTACCCATTTCTATTAAAAAATCACTTTTACCCCTTACTTTTTCAAACCCTACCTATCACATCATACCTTTTTCCTAATAATCTACACATCACATCCTACTTTTACCCATCACATCAAGGCTATTTTTGGAAAGTCAACACAAAATTATTACTTTCTTAATTTAAACTTTAGTCAAAATGGGTAACACTTTATGGGACGGATGGAGTATGTAAATTTTGAGGCATTAATTAATTTTAATACTACTTTAATTTGTATGGCCTAATTAAAAAGAAATGGGATTATTAAATAGAAAAAATCTCTTACAAGATTGTACCCTAATTAAAAAAGATTGTAATTTATATGGCCACAAATCGTTCTAATGTTACGTTAGGTGATCCCATTATGCATTGTGGGATTGACAATATTTTAACAAGTTAAGTGTTTTTTCATAGCAGGAATCACAAGGAAGTGATCAGAAGAGCGAAATGACAAAGGTGGAAGAAGAGGGCGGCGGCGGTGGCGGCCGAAGTGAAAGCTCCGGGGAGATCCCACAATTTGCATACTTTGATCTCAGAAAAGATATTTTCCCCGACACCCGGATGAAGAAGTCTCAGGCCGGCGGCGGCGCTCCCACTGTGCCGGCGGCGACCAACGCCGTCACGGTTGACCTGCAACATTTCCGGGCAACTATTAGGGACACCGAAATCAACCTAGATTTGTCCATCTCTTGTCTCTAATAATGGCACGATGAATCAATCCATATTAATGTTAATGCATGGGATTAATTATACATGTCTCCAATTTAATAGGTCTCTCCCCATATACATAGATATATACACTCACATGGTTACGCACGATGCGAGGAGCTAGTTTAGTGTTCGATCGATATGATTACAATTTGGTGTAATATGTTGTAATTTGACTTTATCTAGTGCTCAAAGTTTTGTTTAGCAATTAATTTACTTGATTGTAGAAGACGTGGAATATATGGATGTAGTCCACTTTGTTTCTTATCACTTTTCTAATGAGTAATTTACCTAAATAGGACTAAAACATAATGACTTTCCCAATATATGACCATATGTTTTTATTTTCCAATGTAGGACCTTTGGTCATTATCACGTAGTCATTATTCAACTAAATGTCCATCATTACTGGATATTATTTCCCCCACAAGGTCATTATTAAGTCCTATTTAGAGAATAAAAAAGTTTAAATCTTATATTAGGAAAGTCATTATGTTTTAGTCCTATTTAGTGCAAATTTCACTTTTCTAATTGATATGTTCATTCTCTTTAACTTTTTCCATTTACTAAATAAAATGGCCTTTGTACTCTTAACCATCTTGTTCACTATCCAACACGCTACTCTTAAAAAAGGAAATAATATACGGAGTATTTTTGTACTACCTCCGTCCCGTGAAACATTTTCCCTTTCTTTTTTTATCCGTCCCACAAAACACTTCTCATTTCTATTAAAAAATCACTTTTACCCCTTACTTTTTCATACCCTAACTATCACATCATACCTTTTTACTAATAATCTATCCATCAAATCATACTTTTACCCATCACATCAAAGGACATTTTTAGAAATTCAATACAAAAATACACTCCCTTAAATCCATCCTAAAAAGCAAATGTCCCATGTTCCACGGGGCGGAGGTAGTATATATTATTATGTACATGGTAGTTTCTTTGTATGATTCTCTTTCCTTTTGTAGTTGTTTCTATATAAATGAGTTCCTAATCTATGAAACACATAGTTTACGAAGTATTCTTTTATGGTATTAGAGAAGGTTCGGTTCGAGTTTGATTTTTCATGGTTGTTTGGACGCGAGAGCTATCCGTTCGTGCTTTAGGTAGTTAAGTTGGCTATAAGAGAATGAGAAGTCACTACCCGTTGTGTGGGCTACCTATAAAAGATTGAGATGTTAGATACGTTTGTTCAAGTTATAACTAGACCAGGCTAATTACTACTCGAGTAGGGAGTGTTGGAGTTCCTACATCAAAAAATAAAGAAGAACACCACTAGCATTATATAGAAATGTAAAACCCTACCTATCAGCTTAAGCTTTTGGGTTTGAAAGTATATGTCGTTATATGCAAGTGGTCACTTTTATCCGACACTCTGCCCGTTGTTCTTCAGCTTTCCTTTGTTCATCGTCACACCATGTACGTACCCCTCTAATTCTTCGACCAAAAGGCATTACCATAGGTTCCCTGAGATGAACTTTCGGATCCTGTTGGCACACCATTGACTGATTTTGCACAACACAAGATACCACCGTGAATCTCTCCCGTCTATTTCAGTTGACACACCATCTTTTGTGAATTCCGCACAACACAAAACACCATGCGCCTACTTCAATTGGTGCACATCGTCACACCGTAAACTCCCCGCACAACACCTAGCTAGATGTTGTTAGGTTGGCACACCATCTTATGTGAATTCTGCTCAACACAAAACATCATGGGCCTACTCCCATTGGTGCACATCATCATGCCGTAAACTCCCCGCACAACACCCAGACTTACCCTCTGTCGACCAACCCTGGTCCTGCTTCTGTTGGCCACTGTCACTCGGAGAACTCCTTACATGTCGGCTCACCACTTTGGCTCTCTGAACCTAACTCTGATACCACATGTTAGAATCGAGTAGTGCATGCTTACCAACCCCGTATTAGCATGATATTGTTCGCTCTAAGCTAAACTCTCACATACTCCCTCCGTCCAAGATTAAAGTTCCCACTTTGACTTGGCACGGAGTTTAATACTCCGTAAAACTTAAAATTTCCTTTGACTTTTCCTAAAATACCCCTCCACCCCTCTTCCTTTGTCTTTTTTCCTTTCCTCTCAATTTTCTGTCTGCACATTCGGATGTACCCTCCCAGCCCAGAACCTCCTTGCTGCTTCGGAACTATCACCAATGGCCTTGATGTTCTACCACGTCAATTCCGGCACCTGCCACACTACTTGTCGTCCCCTTAATTTACGTCTTCGTTCATATTTTTTTTAAAGAAAAACGAAGAAGAAAGAAACTTGGGGCTCCTCCCTCCAATCCAACACGCCATCATCAATCCATGCTTGTACTCCGTCACTACTGCCAATTTTTTTGTCGATCTGACCTCCTTTACAGATCTAAATCGAACTTTTCAGATCTGAGAGAGATGGACCATAAAGAATAAAAGAAAGAAGATTTGAAGATTGATTGGGTGTTGGAATGTGGGAATTGAAGAAGAAGAAGAGGGGGAGGAGGAGATCGGACCACCCTATCACCTCCCCTCCGATCACCGCCACCGCCTCGCTGCTCCACAGGCCACCTTTACTCCAATCCCTACTTCACGGCTCTCAATTTACAGGAAAAAATCAGAAGAGGGGAGAAGAAGAAAGAAAAAAGAAGATGAAAAAGAAAAAAAAGAAGAAGAAGAAAGAAGATGATGACGATAAGAGAAGTAGAGAAAAGAGAAAGAAAGAAAAAGTGGGCGGCTGGAAAGGAAAGAGGTGGGGGAAGGAAAAAAGAAAAAGAAAAGGTAATATGAGGGTAAATTAGACTTTTAGGTATAAAAAAGTTTCTAAAAATAGAAATGGGAAGATTAATTTTGGACGGACGAAAAAAGAAAGTGAGAATTTTATTTGTGGACGGAAGGAGTATCTGTTTTTGGGCACCTCCCAAAAGACTTCATTGTAGTGGAGTTGAGTGAACCATTATATTTTTTGTTCTCTTTCTGATATTTGCACTGTATGGGATAAGTTTGCTTTTCCAACATACGGAGTGATGTTTTTTTCCTTTTGAACTCTTTTTTTGAGTAGTTTTAAGATCCATCTGTGTAATATTTGTTCAATCTAATAATTTTAACATTTTAGGCACATGATTGAGGGTCGAGCATTACATGTGGAGAAATTTATGGTGGCTTTCTTGCCACTATACCAACATGCTTCTATTCATATAGAGTTTTTTGATATTTTTAATAAATTAACAAGTCTTTCACAAATATTTATTTTTCATAAATATAAATACGGAGTATTTACTAATCATAAATATAAAAAAATATACTCCGTGCACTTTTGTACATAGTCTATGAATATTTTAAAAATACTCCGTATAAGCAGAAATTTGTAATTTTGGCCATATTCAACATTATCATTAGATATTAGTGTTAGTATTTTGAACTATGTGACAGTAGAAGTTAATATTAATATTTTCAAAATTTATATACACAATTAAATTTTTATCGAAAATGCTAGTAATTTTTATAGAAAACCCTCTTCTACCTTTTATCATTTTATCAAAGATGGGCTTAGGAAACTCGAACTAGATTTAAGGATCCATGAAAATATGGTCCCTGATTTCAGAAGGGGGCTGAGACAGGAACGACAGATCCATCTAACAACCATCGCCGCGCGTCGAGGGTTTCTTCCTGTTCGAGCGTGACAGTCTCTAAAAGTCTAAAACCCTTCAGACAGAGAGCGCGAGAAGACGCTAACTGGAGGAATCAGCACAGCGAGAAGGGAAAGATGTCGACGGATACTAAGGCAGGGGGCTCCGGGAAAGCAGGTAAGAAGAAGAACAAGAACAAGAACAAGAACAAGGATAAGGGGTGGCCAAAGGGCGTTAGTGAGGCCTCTCGAGCTAGGTTTTCTGAAATCCTCGAACGATTCCGCTCGTCCAATGATGAAGGTATGCATTGGATTTCATGTAATTTTGCTTCCCGCCTCGTTTGGAGTTCTATTTTGGGTCATCCTAACGTAGTAATTACCTACCAAAAATGACAGCTTTTAAGGTTTAGCTTCCCAGTTTTAGCTTATTTTTTTGGCCCTGACTTTTGACACCACTCAGTCATGAATGTTAGCTCAAAGCTAATTGGTGCACCCCATACTCTTATGTAGTAATAAGTGATTCTTTTGTGAGTGTTTGGCATTGGTATTTTTTAAAACTGGGTTTTAAGGTCTTTTCCCCTCCGCAATAGTTAAAATCAGAATATGAATGCTGCAGAATAAGATGATTCTTTTGCAACTTGCAAGTCGTTTTGATGTTTATAAGTATCAAAAATCATACTTTTACACTGTTTCTGGTCATCATGCTCTTTGGAAATTGGAATAGAGAATCATCTTGAAGCCTTGGATAACCTTGTGTTTAAAACATGTTTTAGTACAAAATGACAAAACATGTGCAGTAGACTGAAGCTGTACTAGAAAACTGCACACACACTTGAACTAGTGATTCTTTAGTGATGGGTCTCGCATGCTAAGAGAGAACCACTTTGCTGGTTCATTGGCAATGATGATGTATGATAGACCAAATGGAGGAGCCGCTGGATGAACTGGAATGTATCACGTGGGAAAATGTTCTTGATTAGAGCATCTTGGAATAAAATTGCTTCTTTGCCTTTAATTCGGTTCAACTTTCCATTGTACCCAAAAAATGTGATCTTTAAATTAGTGTTTGGCATTGATCCTACTTTATGAAATGGATAATTATCCTCAAGTACTTGAATAACTTTCTTGCGTCCATTGCTTATGAACCTAAAGAGTCATTTTGACAATGTTTTAGTTTGGGTAAATAATAGACTAAATAAAAATGGCTTACCAAATTGTCAATGGTCTAATGGAAAAGCCTCTTTGTATATCCCATGGGCATGTTGCTTCCATCTTGACCCCTAGGCTCCGATGGAGTTGAAATTATACTGGGTATGTTGTTGTTGTTTGGACTTTAGAGAACTTTTTGTTTTGTTTAAAATGACAAGAACAGTACTCAAGTGTGCTGAGTATTTGTGGTGTTCAGTAGTGGGCATTTCAGGAACAGAAATATAATAGCCTGAATCAGTAGCCCTTGGCTTCTTGAAAATTTGGTTTGCACTTTTAAAAAACATTCTTAGTGCCTTTTGCATGAATAGAATACTTAATTCCCCTTAAATCTAAGATTGTTTAGAGTAGATGACACGCACTTCCAAACATTTTATTTATCAAGTTTGTGTTAGGGAAAAACAAGTAGGTATTAGAATACAGTGAATCGTATTAGGGAAAACTGAATTATGTATTACTACATAGAATACTAGTAGTATGACCTTAGATAAGAGCATCACGAGATCTAGGATCAAGGTAGCTGGGTAGTCGTGTTGGGCCTTGATGGTAATCTTGCTCTTGTCATAGTGTGCCTTCTTTGTTTGATACTTTTGTCTCTTTGTTCTTTTCATTACCCCTAGTTTGCCATTGTAATACAAGTGGGTATAAGTATTCATTGCATTTTCAAATATGAATACTAATATGTATTTATTTGATTTGTTAAGTTTTTAAATTTATTTGTATACAATTGTGCAAATAAATACATAATGAATATAAATACAATCTATATACCGATATAGTGATAAGGTGTGTAAGTAGTAACTCAAGATAGATAGTCATTGAAAATAAAATTAATCAAACATAAAAATATTTTTGAAACTAAAAGTGCAAGTTCTTAGAGGGTTATAAAAGAAGAGAATAATTTTGATTTGATTCATGATTTGTATTCAAAAAAATGATTTTTATTTGGCAAAAATGAATAAGAATCTTTGTCTCTTTGGAAACAGCCTCTCTACTTTCGAGTAGGGGTAAGGTCTGCGTACACACACCCTCCCCAGACCCTACTCTTGTGGGATTTAACTGGGTTGTTGTTGTTGTTGTTGAATAAGAATCTTAACACAAGTAGTTATTGGTATTCATTTTACATTTCAATTTAATTTTTAATATCTGTCTAAATTTCCAAATACAAATAATAATACTCAGTATTCAATTGGATTTGGTTTGTTTACAAACTCAAGATGGTCACTGCAGATCCATAAGCACAAAATGAATAAGAACTCCAAATATTGTGTATCATCCCTAAGTCTCAAAGTCATTGAAATAGGAGAACCATTTAAGTACTACTCAAGCTGACTGGAAAAGAACAAACTGAAGTAATATGTATACTGAATTTAAGTAAGAGCTATTTTAGAACTTCTAAAATCATCCAATTATGATAAACATGAAACTTGCATTTGAAATCTCTGAATCGATGCGTAGAACTATTCATCGATAAATCTAGTTTGAGAAGACATTTTTTGTGAATTTTTGCACTAAAATATTACACAATTAGGTCTTTTATAGCTCTAAAATTGGAGTTGGTGCTTCACGTGCGTGATATGATATGTCTTTTATGTTTTGGTGTGATACATAAACTTCGTGAATTAGAAATCAAGATGATTGGTTTGTTGCTAGCCGTACAAAGTGGTAGATTATATCTTCAGGCTTCTTAGTGATAGTCAACATTTCTAAGCTGGGATTGATTGGAGCACAAAGTATTGAATTGCATCAAATCGCTCACCTATAGACATACGCACACACAAATTATATATATATATGTGTGTGTGTGTGCTGCATAAGATTTCATTTTTAGAGTAAATTGTATTTATTTGGAACGTTACGAGTCAACATGACCTGTCATGATGTCTCAGTGTATATCTTCTCAAAAGTGGCAGGGTTGGAAGCATATTAGATTATTAGGTCAGTTTTTTTCTTTCCTTTTTTCAAATCACATCCATACAGAAGGGGCAGAATTATTTGCTGACACGGTGTCTATATTAGCATATTATCATATGTGCTTATTAGAATTGAAGCTTGTAACTTGTAAGCAAGTGCATGCACATCTATCTAAACACTTCATACTGTTTTCCCGTGGATCTATTCTTTAATGCCAATATATAATGTTGATTTCCACATAGAAGAAACTTATATGTGTTTATATTGTTAACACAGAGTTCAAATTTGATCCAAAGCTTAACAATTTGGAGCGAGCTGCAGTGCATAAGCTGTGCAGAAAATTTGGCATGAAATCCAAAAGTCATGGGTAAGTATACTTAGTATTTGTTGCAACGTTCATGTGTATTGATTTTTGTTAGAAATGTATGTGTGTTGTTTTTTGTCAAGCTAGCATAGGTATATGGTGCATTAGTGCTAGAGGCGTGTATCTGTTCGATTAAGCCTAGGGCCAGGACCGAACCTGTAAAACCTGGATTGGATCCTAACAGATCGAATAAGAACCGTTATGTATACTTTTTCTTACTGTTTTTCAAAAAATATCTATTTGTCCTATAAGAGTCTTATTTCAGTAGTTTACAATCTTTTTGACAAGCAACTAGTGAAAATGATCAAATACAACTATTTGTTTTATAATTTATTTGTTAGTTTAACTAAAACTAACATATTTAACTTGTTTGGCATGATTATTTTAATTAAAAATAATTGGATATATCATGATTTAAATTTAAAAGTTTTCTTCAAATCCAACTCTTAATTTTATTTGGCCCACCTGCCTAAATCAGTTAGACTGGTGGACCGGACCAGACCGGACTGAATAAGCTTAAAAGTAGGACCAAAGCCCTAGACCAGAAGAGTGGTCCTGGCTTGTTTTGACTGGGTTTCGGGTCGGCCTAGGCTCTGGACTGAATAATGCACTAGCCTAACTGGTGCTTCGAATACCTTCTAAGCTTTGACAACTTTGATGGCATGAACTTGGGTTTTCTAGGGATGGGACTGCACGGCGTGTAGTTGTTTTCAAAAATAAAATAAAGAAAGCATGTCCCGAAAGAGAGAAGAAAGCTCTTGGGTTTAAGTTTTCAGAAGAATCAAAAGCTATACTACAGGATCTATTTAGTCAATTTCCACCTGGTGAGGAGGATGCTACTTCTTATATGGCTGGAAAACGTAACAAGAAAGGAAAGAAGTTTTTTGGAATGCAGGATGATATATTCCAAAAACCTGCAATGGACAAGTCAGAGATTGCAAAGAGAGTCGAGACCCTTGCTATAAGAGCTGAACATAACCATACCTTAAGACAGGTGCTTTTTTCTTTATCTTTTCCTTTGAGGGGGAGGGTGTCACTGGCGGGGTTACTCTAGTGGACTCTAATGTTGTAAGGGTTTCTGATGTACTTGCATATCATGAACTTATATAATGTATTAGCTGAAAAAAAATATATATAATGTATTAGCTGCGACGGGCTATAAGTATAATTATCTTCATGTTAATACTCTCATGAGATTCAACTGGGTTGTTGCACTAATAGTTCACAATGTCTTCTGTTTAGATTTTTGAAGGGAGGTCGAAACTTCCAATTGCTTCTTTCAAGGATATGATTACATCAAGTGTAGAAGAAAATCAGGTGTCTCTCATTTCTTTTCTGAGTATATGCCTTCGTATATGTATGTGTCTAGAGTAACAATTATTTTATTTAATAAGGAAAATGGTTGGCACACTTCTGGATGGTAAAGATGCTTGAAATATATTTCTTTATGTTTGATAAGGCATTTGACAAAGGATTGCTTATCTTGCTTGTTTATCTTTTTGATGCCTTATATGCAGTTCGGCACCTCTCTGTGACACCAGTAACTTACCCATTTGTATCATTCTCCCTTTTCAGGTAGTGCTAATCTCTGGTGAAACTGGATGTGGAAAAACCACACAGGTAACTCATTAATATTTGATTTGTGTCATTACATTTTAAATGAGCTCAGAGTGTCAGAGCTAATTCACATCTGTCTCACTATTCTTGCAATAAAAAAATTCTCAATGCTTTAAAAACTAAGGAGTTATACATGCTCACTCATTATTTTTTAGTTCCACGGGGGCAAATAGAAGTAGAAATACTTATAGATTTGATTTTTTAAATGAAAAGCACATAAACTACAAAAAATACAGGTTGTTTCACTAAAACCATATTACCAGGCCCGAGAATTTTATGTCACGAGACCAAAAAATGGCCCTTAACCCCGACTATTTAAACTATACTCCGTACCGAGTATAAATTTATTTTCCGAATCGGTGATTTACTGTTTTTTTTCAAAACAATATGCCACGGATTGAATAATACAATCAGTGAAAGTTTCAAAATTCAAACAAAAAAGCTAATCATTAATTGGTATCATATTAGCAGTCATTAGTTTACTAGTTTTTTTTCCTAAACAATATGCTAATATGGAGTGAATTGAATCAATGAAAGTTTTGAATTCAAACTGTGTAGTTGATACCAATATAGCAATATATTTCTTTATACGTGAATTAGGAACAACCAAGGCAGTAGCTGAAGTGGATAAGCTGCATTTTACACTCACCTATAGGTGTTTGGGTTCGACACCCACTTCAGCAATTTATTTTAAAAATAGAAGAAACTACATTTCGACTAGAGAATTTTAAAAAAAGGTTGGGCCCCCAAAATAAACGGGTCCGGTCCTGTAGGGCTGCTTGGCCCACCCACGGACCGGCCCTGTATATTACCCTATTAGTTTTATAGTAAGAAATGAAAATGTTAGTGATATTTATTTTTTTTGTTATCTTTATTAAAATCATACTAGTTATATGCACCAGTTTTATGAGGGTGTGCCTATATCAATAGGTTGACCCTCAATTTTTGTTATAACATATTCACATGGCAAGGTTCTTCTTGTGGTATTGAAGTGTTGTTTTCATTTTTCAAGGTCCCACAATATATTTTAGACCACATGTGGGCTAAGGGAGAGCCATGCAAAATTGTGTGCTCTCAGCCACGGCGAGTTTCAGCTACATCAGGCATGCTTAAACCAGAATTTTGTAGTTTCATGTATACCATCTTGGTATTTTTTCTCCCGTTTTGCTATGGCTTTGTTTTCATAATTTAGTTATTTTGTTTGCAGTTTCTGAGAGAATTGCCCACGAGAGAGGTGAAAAGCTGGGGGATACTGTTGGTTATAAGGTAAACTTTTTTTTAATATGTATTTCAAATAAACTCTCTTCCTTGTTCTTCTATATTGATCTTCATTCTAGTCTTTTCTCAACATTTTTTCTTTTTGTGCTTTTGTATCCACTTGTCTACATTAAATGGAATTCTTGAAAGATATTCTAATGTCTGAATTTCCTAGCATTTTAGTCATCTCTCTCCATTTTAAAGGACCTGCATTCATCTCGTGTTTATGAGTGCTTATATATTTTTCTAATACTCTATATATCTCAATGATTTGAATCAACCACTTAGGGTTTTCAATTCAATTTAATCCCACTTTATCTTTTATCATGAAAGGTATTCTATCCGTCCTGCTAATTTTGTCCTTCGCCATGGTAGTCAAACTCTAGATTCTACGTAGGATCGATAAGCATAATGAAGATCGTAACATCGTAAGATCGTGACTCGGATCGTAAGATCCTACTATATATATATATATATATATATTTGTGTGTGTGTGTTTAATGTTTTAATTAGAAGGCTACTAGAACTTAGAAGTCGATTGGAAGGAGAAGTCTGGATTCCCAAAAAAATAGAAGATAAGGCTGGGCTGATATGCTATTTACGCTGGTTTCCAATTTAATTTGGGAATAAATAAAAGAGGATAAGCTGTTTCCGATCGAAATTGGGAGTCGCGACAGATGCGACTTTCCAATTGCAATTCCCGACGAGATTGGAAGATGATTTTGAAGCGACGCTGTCTGGGCTTCTCACAATCGGCGATTGAACGCGATCCTGCGTTTTTACGATCTGAATCGCCGATCCGGACGATTCTAGTGGATTGCCCGATTCTGCAGCCGCGCCGGATCGGGAAGGGCCCCGCGATCCTCAGACTCGTAGGATCGTACGAGTCAACTCGCGAGTTTGACTACCATGTCCTTCGCCGTATTTAGCATTGTGTAACTTTTGTGCAATTGTGTGGCTCACATTCATATTTTACTTTTTAACATCAATATCAACCACACAGTTCCACTTCTCTTATTTTGTGAGCCTCTGTTCTATGTCCTAAAATAGTGGGATGGAGGGAGTAGTGGAGTACTAAATTAGCTTTCCAAATTTGCTATTTTTACTTCATATGATGTTCCACCTTCTGGATTCTGAATCTTGTCTCCATGTTTTTGTTGGAACATTTAGCCCTTCTTTGAACTCATCATTTAACAAGATAGCATGTGAAACCCGCGTACACAATGAAACCTCATCTTAAACCGTCATGATTAACTCACCTGTGATGGTTATTAATAGGAATTGGCGTAGTGTCAACTGTGTCAATCCTTGATGTAACTCTACCATGATAGGTAACTCTTCTTTCACACCTCCACAAGATTTAACATTTTGACAGTGGCTCATAGATGGTTCCAATATTAAGGGTATAATTTCTGCAAATAATATACTCCGTATGTTGTTTCTAAGAGTTGTTTCATACTTTAATTTCGAATAGCCATTCAAGAGGTGTTGTGTGTGGTATGAGTTCAGTAGATAGCTGTATTTTTTCCCTTTTGCTTTTTCTGAGTGGGCTAATTGTTTTACTCAATTCACAATCAATGTAATGAATTGCACTGTACAATTGATCACTGATGTTACTGTGACAAATTCTAGATTCGATTGGAAAGCAGCGGAGGAAGACATTCATCATTGGTATTTTGTACAAATGGGATTTTGCTGAGGGTTATAGTCGCTTATACCAAGTTAAAAAAAACTTCGCAAAGGGCAAAGGATGATTTGTCTGACATTACCCACATCATTGTGGTACTTCCTGTTTCCATCTTCTATGAAATATTTCTTGTGTTGTAGGCTGCATGCTTTGTTACTTGTTTTTTTGTAAAAAATAAAATTGCAGTTATAAATATTCATCTATTTTTTGGTCTTGGGGTATGATGGGATAAAGCAAAATGGCTTTTTAAACTGTATGTGCTTCTTTTAATAGTGAAGTAGCTGTTACTTAATGCAACTTTCAGTGCTCATCGTGGGTCATCCAAAACAACTGCTCTATGTTTTAAACATAGGGGACATCATGTGTACGTGATTACCTGCCGGGGGTCTCTTTGGAAACAGCCTTTCTACTTTTGAGTTGGGGCAAGGATTGTGTACACACCCTCCCAGACCCTACTTTTGTGGGATTCAATTGGGTTGTTGTTGTTGTTGTTGTAGAGTTGCAGTTATTATTCCTGTATAATCATTGCACTACTAAATAAGAGTATTGGTCTATCTCTTTGGAATATGTATTGTTACGACTTACAACTTACGAAGTAAAAAATCTCATGGACTGCAGCTCTCTTATTCATAAGAAGAAAGTATAACAAACCAAAAATCTGTTACATTTTAGTTCTCTTATATCGCATGATGTATTAATGCATTCTTTTAATAGAAATCATCCTAAATAGGACTAAAACATAGAGAAAAGTACCAAAATAAGACTTTCATGTTTTTTTTCCCAGAATAGGACTTTGCACTGTGGTAATGTGACTTTGCATTGTGGTAATGTGGTAGTGTACATGTGCAAATTACTATACTTTTTTGGTAATGTATATTACCATGTTTGGTAATGTAAGTCCTATTTCAGGAATAAAAACATGGAAGTCCTATTTTGGTATATTCTCAATGTTTTAGCCCTAGTTTGGTCTTTCTCCCTTCTTTTAACACTCAAAGCCCAGGCTGCAAAGGTAGAACATTTTAAGTTCCATTACTGCAATGTGCAAAACTAGTGGAATAATAGTATGCTTTGAAGGTACATAACAATGTGAACAATATTTGGTTATTTCTCTTGTGCAAAAATTGGACCTCATTTGCTCTCATAAAGAACAATACGAGAGCATACTACACACATCTCATGCTATCTTTTGGATATTGGCGGCGTTCTTTGTTATACTCCCTTTGTTCCGTAAAGAACTTCATAGTTTGGATTAACAGAGTTTAAGGAAACTGTTGAAAAGTAAAAAGTGTGTGGTTGTAATTTGTTTATAAGGAAGATAAATGTTGGTAGCCACATATTTCTTTCCTCATGAAGTTTGTTTTTATGGGACAGCTATATAAGAATGTTGTGAAGTTTTTTGTGGGACAGGAAATTTGGTTTAAGGCCTATTCTTTATGCCTTAGTCTGCAGTCTGACATATCACACTGCTTGCTTTACACTTTTCCATTTAGATGTGTCAACAATTCTTGGATTTTAGGTGTTCTTTTCCTGCATCAGCTAACATATGCTCTTTAACTTGCTAGGATGAAATTCATGAAAGGGATCGTTTCTCTGATTTCATGTTAGCAATTATAAGGTGCTCTCCTTAAGCTTTCATCCTTGTTTATCTGATTATGATTATGCTCCATATGTGTATGTTCTGTTCTAGACTTCTAGGTGAGTTTCACAAAGTTTTGATTTGCATCCTTGTTTCAGTTTTCTATCCGATATAGTGATACCTAATGAGTTCTTAATCAATATCTACTGAGATGCTAATAAGTTACTTATCCCCTGTAGGGATATGCTTCCTTCCTATCCCCATTTGCGCCTGGTTAGTATAATCATGTCTTTAAAGATATATTAATATAGACCGCTTTCCGAGTAGTTTCTGCTTACAATTATGAGCATTTATACCAGTTTGGTGGTTAATTTCTCCTTAACAGATTCTAATGAGTGCAACAATTGACGAGGAGCGTTTTTCAAAATATTTTTATGGCTGCCCGATCATCCGAGTCCCGGGATTCACTTACCCAGTAAAACACCCCTTAGCCATCTATAGTTTTTTTTTTAAATCTCCGACTTCCGATCTGTCTTCCTTGGCTGTTCCATGATGTGAGCTTTATTTTCTTTTCAGGTAAAAACTTTCTACCTTGAAGATGTACTCAGTTTTGTTAAATCATCAGAAAATGATGCCCTTGACAATTCAACAGCCAGTCACACCTCAGGAGACTCTGTATTAACAGAGGAATACAGAGTTGCCTTAGATGAAGCTATAAATCTTGCTCTGTCTGATGATGAGGTTGTTCCCCTCTTAGACATAATCTCTTCTGGAGCGGCACCTGAAGTCATCAACTACCAGCATTCTTTGACAGGGGTGACACCTTTGATGGTTTTTGCTGGGAAAGGCTGCATCAATGATATTTGCACACTCCTTTCCCTTGGTGCTGACTGTCATCTGAAAGCCAAGGATGGAGCAACTGCTCTAGATTGGGCATCACGAGAGAACCAGTCAGAAGCATCTGAAATTATCAAAAAACATCTAGAGGAATCATCTTCCAATTCTGAGGAGAAGCAAAATTTACTAGATAAATACCTATCAACAGTTGATCCTGAACTGATTGATGATGTGCTGATTGAGAAGTTACTAAGAAAAATATGTGAGACCTCAACGGATGGAGCCATCCTGGTTTTTCTTCGTGGGTGGGATGATATTACTAGAACAAGAGACAGATTGCAAAAGATTGCATTGTTCAATAATGAATCCAAGTTTTCAATAATCCCTCTTCATTCTATGGTTCCACCAGTAGAGCAAAAGAAGGCTTTTGCACGCCCTCCCCGAGGTTGTCGCAAAATCATTCTTTCAACTAATATTGCTGAGACTGCTGTTACTATTGAAGATGTAGTATATGTAGTAGATAGTGGACGTGCGAAAGAAAAAAGTTATGACCCTTATAACAATGTGTCAACTCTTGAATCTTCTTGGATATCAAAAGCAAGTGCTAAGCAGCGCGAAGGACGTGCAGGGCGCTGCCAGCCAGGAATTTGTTATCGTCTCTATTCAAAGGCTCGAGAAGCCTCGTTTCCGGATTTTCAAATTCCAGAGCTTAAGAGGATGCCTATAGAGGAGCTATGTTTGCAGGTGCTCTTTCTGCCTTAATTTTTGCTTAATGACTGCGTGCAAAAAATAATAATAATCTTGTGGGTGTACTCTCAGTCTGTCAGCTTTTTATTTTAAATATTTCAAAGTATTCTTTTGCACTTTTTACCAACCTTATCTGAAGTCACAATTGACTAACTTACCGAGACCACCAGACCAAGGAAAGTAGTTGGCTTTCTAGAGTTCTTTAAAAATAGCAAGATATTCCATTTTTTCTCTTTTATTATGTCTTTTAAATGAATTCATTAAAAATGACTTGATTTCTAAAAGGTGCATACACAACATTTTGACTGCAGATTAAGCTTCTAGATCCCGATTGCAATGTTGAGGAGTTCCTTCAGAAGACATTAGATCCTCCTGTTTTTGAGACGATAAGAAATGCAATCATTGTTCTGCAAGATATAGGTGCCTTAAACGATGAAGAGAAAGTTACAGAACTTGGGGAAAGGCTTGGGTCCTTACCTGTTCACCCTCTCACCAGCAAGATGCTTTTGATCTCAATACTTTTGAATTGTCTTGAACCAGCGCTGACTTTAGCTTGTGCATCTGAGAATAAAGACCCATTTACCCTTCCGATGTTACTGTCCGAAAGAAAAAAAGCCAACGCTGCAAAACAAGAGCTAGCCTCGTTTTATGGTGGGAGTAGTGATCAGTTAGCTGTGGTGGCTGCATTTGAATGCTGGCAAAATGCCAAGCAAAAAGGCAAAGAGGCACAGTTCTGCTCTTCCTACTTTGTATCGCCTGGCACCATGAAAATGATATCAAGACTGCGAAAGCAGCTTCAGTCTGAATTGGTCCGAAATGGTTTCATACCTGAGAACATATCCAAGCATAGCATAAATGCTCGTGATCCAGGAATTCTGCATACTGTCCTTCTTGCTGGTTTGTATCCCAATGTGGGGAGACTACTTCCACCTCTCAGAAATGCAACTCCAAGAAGTGTAGTGGAGACTGGGAGTGGTGATAAGGTCCGTTTGCACCCTTGCTCAACCAACTTCAAGCTAGTGGACAAGAATCTTAACCAGCCAATAATTGTATATGATGAGATAACTCGTGGTGATAGGGGGCTGCACATAAAGCATTGCAGTATCATAGGGCCACTTCCGCTGCTATTGCTGTCATCAGAGATTGTGGTAGCTCCTACAGAGGGAACCCGTTTTGGCAGCAATGCAAGTAAGAGTGGAAGTGGCTCTGGAGATGACAATGAAGGAGAGAAGGCAAAATCAGAGGTGTCTGATGGAGAAGACGATATTATGTCTTCTCCTGATAATCCTGTGAAGGCCATTGTTGATCGGTGGCTCTATTTTGAATCAACCGCTCTTGATGTTGCTCAGATATACTGCTTGAGGGAGAGACTGACCTCTGCAATTTGTTTCAAAGTAAAGTTTTACCCCCCCCCCCCCCCCCTTTCCCCACCACCACACAAGCACCCACATGCCCACATACAAAATAGCTTCTCTATGATAAGGGAAGGTGTCCCCTTTTTTACTACAAGGACCTGCCTAGAAATAGTTTGGTGCTCTAACAAGGGTTCAAACCCCGCTTTGGGGCTATTTACATCTCTGGTCATCTATTGTAATATGTGCTGCTGTTGCCAGGGTGGGGTTTACCCAAAGCACACAATCAATTATGTATTAGGCTATCAGCAATTGATAGTGAAATAGATCACAATTTTTAAATCTTGATAAGGTCCTAACCCTTAAAAGTTGTCGAACGCTACTTATATTACAGCATAGAAGTTTACTAGTAATTTTTTTTATTTACCTGAATTTATCAGTTTGGTTCACTTTTTTTAAAAAAATTACATGAAAAAAGAACCCTGTTTTACGATCTACGTTTTAGACAAATTTTTGAATTGCGACTTTCTTTTTGTTCCTTGAATTTAAAAAAATTAATATATTGTCATGTGCCAACATGTAGGTGAAAGATCCATCAAAACGACTTCCTGAGGTCTTGGGCGCATCCATGAATGCGCTTGCTTCTGTTTTATCATATGACTGGAAGGTTGGGGTCTCAATGCCATCCATCTCCATTGACTCACTCACTGCATTGGTTGGTTCTGCTGGGATTAGTGCGTCACGCAGAAGCCTGCCGACCCCTCACACAAATCATCATGGAAGCTTCCAGAATGATCCCATGCAGCTTGATGGCAGCTTGCAGAACCCTCAAATGCATCCCATGAGCGTCGAGAACCCTCAGATGTTGTCTCATGATGGAAGCTTCCAAAACCCTCAGATGTTGTCTCATGATGGAAGCTTCCAGAACCCTCAGATGTTGTCTCATGATGGAAGCTTCCAGAACCCTCAGATGTTGTCTCATGATGGAAGCTTCCAGAACCCTCAGATGCTGTCTCATGATGGAAGCTTCCAGAACCCTCAGATGCTGTCTCATGATAGAAGCTTCCAGAACCCTCAGATGTTGTCTCATGATGGAAGCTTCCAGAACCCTCAGATGTGTCATCCACCAGCTGGAAACGGCAACGTCCCTTTGAATCCATGCCCTGGCTCCGCACCCCAAGGATCAGTTAAGTCTAAGAAATCTGCTTCTAAGAGGCTGCGCAAAAACGGGCATTTGACCGGGTAATGCTTAGACGTTTCAAAATTTTACTGCTGGGAAAAAAGTTTCACGCGTGAATGGGATGGAGTGGTAATATTGATTTCACGCGTGAATAATGAGGAGGAGAAAGAGAACAAGGACGAGTCCCATTACTGACTTAAAAGATAGTAAAAAGTTATTCTTGGGATGAATATGGAGGCTGAGGATTGGTGATATAAAGGATCAACAGATAGAAGAAGCATGTCCATATTTGTGTTCACTCTTCATTGATTTATATCCCATTTCTAATTTTTGCTTGGGAATTTTACTTCCATCTGTATGAAAAAAAAATATTGTTTGCACATTGCTTGCAGCAGAATAATTTACCAAAGGACACTTGAACAATACTCAAGACTAGTTTTTTTTGTTTGTTTTTCACACTTTTTTTTGAAAGATTAATATAAGTGGCTTCTTTGACTAGCTCTTGTTTTTTTTTTTTTTTTGCATATAATGTTCTCATGTTCAGAATGCAATGGCATTGGCAATGCAATACTTGTAATGGATGGTAGTGTGGTACTTACCCTGTCATATGAGAAAAGAGAGAAGAGACTGACTATAGGACTCTTATATTTAAGAATGAAACTTCTCCATTTTCTTCTCTGTCCCACTATTTTTGGAAGATGTGTGTGAGTCACATTGAAATTTAAAAACAATAAGATTTTGTGGTTAATATTGATGTTTTTTAAAAAGGGATACTGATGTTGAAAATAAGAATGAAAGCGAAGGGCACAATAAGAAAGGTTTTAAAACCTAAAACTATTGGGTTAAATAGTTTGATATCGGTATGGGATAGAAACTCAAAATTATTTGGTACAATTTTGGTTTGAAACGGAATTGTGCAACATTATTCTAGTGTTGAAAGCGTTCCAAGAACTTAAACATAAAAGGAGTAGTACTCAAATGCATGACAAGAAAACAGAAAACACAATTTTGAATCGATAAGCACAACTTTGTTAAAAAAAGTAATGCATGATTTCAAATTTAAAAATCATAAATACAAAAATATAAAAGATAATGAGTCTAATACCATGTTCAATATTATACCCATGCTCAAACTATGTCAAAAAATTAAACTACAGTACTCAAAATAATATGAAAACAAAACTCAATTTTGTATAAAAAGCACAACTTTGTTAAAAAAGTGATTCATGATTTCGAATTTTAAAAATTATTAACACAAATGATAAAAGAAAATGAGTCCCATATCATGTACTCCTTCTGTCTCATTTTAAATTGCCTGTTTGTCTTTTTTCTCCGTCCCAAAATAAGTTGTCTGTTACTTGTTTTCGTAAACTTTTAAGAGTAAAATATCTAAATTACCCCTAAAATTAGTCACTCTTCACTACTTTATCTTCTTATACATCGTCAACCTTTCTAAAAAATAATGACAATTCCGAAAAATCAATTCTATTTTTTCTTTTCCTTAAATATGTCTAAAAGTCAAAACGGGCAATTTAAAACGAGACAGAGGGAGTATTAAAATGACTATAGTAAAACATAATAAGAAAAATATATTTTTTAACGATCATTAATGTAATACTGTAATAGTGAATAGAGTGTCTTCTCTCCATTTTTTAAAAAATGTAATGGCCATTGACGTCTCTTGAAAATGTAGAATTGTTTGAGTAATTTTGCACTTGTATATCTTGGCACTTTATATGCAGTTGCCCCAAACTTGAAGTAATATACCAAAATGAAAACCAAAGAATGAGGAACCCATGAAAACCAACCCTCATCAATTCTAGAAGGACCGATCTGAAAGCCATCGGCGCTCCCAGTCCCAATCCGATCTGGGACTGCAATCCGGCAACGCAACACCGGATCCATCTGACCTACCTAAGTTACCTTCGCCGCTAGACCCCGCAACCGGAGCCCGTGCGAATCGCCGTCGCATACGGACTCCTCACGGCGGCCGAATCCGAGTCCTGTGTCCTCGTATCCGGCCAAGCTTAAGCGAAGTGGCCCAGGCGTGTCTTAGTGTCCATGTGAGCACGCCATTTCTCTCCAGGTCTGGCGTGGCCTTGTGAAACCCTCAAGTACCTAAAGATTATGATTGATCGATTGATGACTTTATAAGTAACTCTACCTTGACTATAAATAATTGAAAATTTGAGGCGCAACTTAGATTTTCTTTTTTCTTTGCTTTGTTAGACGCATTTGTATATCTAGATATGTTTCTTAATGGAATTAGGTTGAATCCTACAGTTCATGTTAGGATAACGCATGATTTATGATTTTGTTTCCCCTTCCATTTGAGTAAAATCTAGGTCGTGATTTTGGCTGACTTGGAGTTGGTCTGAAATTATCTTTCATCTTATGTTGATGTCATCTATTCCATTTCTTAATGCAGGTAGATCAACTTACTGTTCAAGTACTTGGGCTAGTATCTGAACTTGTTATTTCCAGACTTTCAGTTTTTATTATATATATGGGCTAAGGTGTACATTTCATGGGAGGTGTAGAGGATGAAGAACCACCCTCAAAACGCGTAAAAGTACACTCCGGAAAGTTGGGAGATCATTCAAACGAAATGTCTCTTAAAGAGTATGAAAGCTGCTCTCGTGAATTCCAAGGAGATGATGGGGTGGTTGGATCAAAAGGAGTTGTCAAGAAAGTTGAATTTGTTCGGATCATTGCTGAGGCATTATACTCTCTTGGTTATAAGAAGACTGCAGAGCAGCTTGAGGAAGAATCAGGGATACAATTACAATCTGAAGTTGTAAATTTGTTTATGCAGCAAATACTTGATGGGAAATGGGATGAAAGTGTAGCTACTTTACCTAGAATTGGTCTAATGGATGAAACCACCATAAAGCTTGTATCATTTCTAATTTTTGAGCAGAAACTGTTTGAGTATCTTGACAAAGATAATGTCATGGAAGCTTTGAAAACTTTGAGGAGGGATGTTGCTCCTTTATGCATAAAGAGTGACCGAGTCCGCGAGCTTTCCTCATGCATCATATCTTCACCAAAGAGCCTTGTTGGCATATCTAGTGCATGTACTTTTAGAGTGAAGCCTCGATCAAAATTGCTCGAAGAATTGAAGCGAGTGCTTCCACCCACAGTTACGATACCTGAGAAGAGATTAGTCCATCTTGTTGAACAGGCTCTTGATTTGCAACTTGATGCTTGTAGATTTCACAATTCTTTGGTGGGTGAGATGTCATTGCTCTCTGATCATCATTGTAGTAGAGATCAAATCCCTTCTCAAACTTTACAGGTGAGAGCACATTCGTGGATACTTTAGCTTTTGGCATTTTGCTAGTTTAACTTGCATGATAACTGTGTTATGTTCTTGTTTATTATGGAGCAGCTATTAAAAAAATTTTATTTTGAAATATTTTATTAACATGCAAGGTCATGTTATTATAATATTTATATCTTAATTTATGTTACTATTGGTTAGGGATTTTGGGGAGAACAAAGTAGCTCCCAAGTCCCAACAATATGACCATCTTCTTGCCATCAAACTTTCTTACCTATTCGTTGTTGAGCCTACCAATCTGCCATATCTAAATTCGTTTATCTTGCATTGCTTCATTAATCCCATTTTTCATTTCTGAAATTCAGCGCTTGCTGCGATAAGTTTGGCACACTTTGCAAGCCTGCACTATCTTCACAATGAGAAATGCTGCGGCATAAAGTACCAAATTCAAATTTCCCCTAACATGTTCCATGATGTGCATAAGTGCATTTCCAATATCATTTTTTTGCTATCTCAACTCATCACCTTATCATGATACTCCGTTTGTCCCATAATTTTCTTCCTGTTTTCCATTTTGGTCTGTCCCCATGTTCTTTAAATTTTTATTGTAAGGAAAAGTGTGTGTGATCAGTAGCCTCATTCCTTTCTAAATATAACACAAGCACACAATTCCAGTTTCTTAATAAGCAGCCTTGATCTTGGAGAGGATTTTGAGACAGAGGGAGTATTTCAATGGAAGTAGAAAAAGCATCTGATAGTGATGGTTGTAGATTTTCATCTCATTTTTTGGAAGAGTGCGACTTGGAAGGTGTCTGACATAAAGTTGTCACTATGTTGCTTTGCATGTATTTATAGTGTGAATTAACTCTGGGCAATTATTTAGCACTGAATTTTATGCTACCAACATTAAGGAGTTGGTGGTGATGGCTCACCATTTGTCTAATCAGTTCATGTGGTTTTGTTTTTAGTTTTTACCCAATAGCGAACTGTCCACGGTGAATGCAAGCACCAGGTTCACTAAAATTATCCCATCTGATTGCTTCTCTCTTGAACAAATAGTATAGAACCTTGGTGGAGAAGATTCCGCTAATGCTTCACTGTGAACTTCATTAGTGTGCATTTTGGACTAAAGTGATTGCCAATTGATGGACTGATTGGATCTAAGAGAAGCTATTTCTGTGCCAAATCTAACCGTCAGCTTTGCCCATAAATTACTGCTTGCGCTTGTTATATCACAGACTCCACAGCAATGTTCGAAAAGGCGGAACGCAAACCCGCCTCAAGGCGCGCCTCGAAGCTTTTTTCGGAAATTACGCACTGGTGCTAATCCCGATTTCACGCGATAGGCTTTTTTACGCAATTCTTAGAAAGGCGTACGCCATGGGGCGTACGCGCCGGTGCGGGCATTGAGGCTTACGCAATTCAATGATAAGAATTTAGAAAATTAAACAATTAAAATTTTGGATATTAAAGGTTAAAGTTGTCAATTACTCCAATTAATTAACCCGATTAAGTGTATATATGTTAAAATTACCTTTGTCTAGTGTCGATTACCCTAATTGCCTTTGTCGATTGCCTTTTTGCAACCCACGAACCGTCTCCAGCAGTCCAGCGGCTTCAACCTTCTTTCTCCGGCGAAGGTAATCTCTGCGTCTTCTTTTTCTTTCCACTTGCGTTGATGGATAATGGATGATGATGGGTGGTGGGTGGTGCTTTATTGCTTTTTACAGCTGTCCATGCTTTTTATCTTTTTATAATTGTCACGTTGCTGGTTTTTCTTTTTCTTTTTTTTTTGTTATCTTTTTGTCAAGTAGATTAACATTCAATTGATGTTTTTTATGAGTTTATGATTGGTATTTTCTTCAAGCAATTGGATCGGCTGATTTTTTATCTGTTATTATGTTAATTTATTTTTTTTCTCTTTTTTTGATAATTGATGTGCTAATTGTTCTATTTTTTAAGATGAATTATTGCATAGTATTTTATTGTTTATTTTGGTTTCAGAAATTAGCATATTACTTTGACAATATACATTTTTCATGTTATTGGATTATTTATGTTATACATTATGTTCTATCTTTGGTTTTAAATTGTTTTATGAATGTTTTTCAATTTAAAAATTGAGGCTTACACCTCAAAATGCCTCAAGGCTTACGCCTTACGCCATGAAATGAAAACGCCTCAAAACCGCAATACGCCTTTTCGAACATTG